CCGTGTACGCCCTAGTCACTCTTTCAGGGGGGGGGGTAGGGGGGGGGGTCTTCGACCTGAAAAATCAGGGGTTAGGATTTGCACCCGGTCGAAAGAAACCTTGCTATCGCAAGAATAACTCCAGCTAGCTTCGCTAGCTTTCGTGAATACATATTTTCTTTATTTCATTTATCATTATAAATCTAACAATATATTATTATTTAATCAATTAGACACATATATTTAATTATAATATATTTAAATATATTAATATCGTATAATTTCCTAAATTAGCAATTTAAATTCTATATTCGCATACATAAACCTTATATATATATATATATATTTTTTTTTTGTTTTTTTAAACCTAAATAACATAGACAATTAAATCGGAATTTCATATATTTATTCACTTTACAAAAAATACTATCAACTATATTATATGAAATTAATACACTATATAATCTAAATATACATATAAAGATCGTATAAACTCGTTATTTATAACTGAGCACGAGCAGAATTTGACTTTGAAAGGCGGCTGGATTGCCACTGGCTGGATTGAAGCAGAAGGGATAATTGAACAGACGGCTTGATGCGTGGATGGAGTGATAGATGATGATGACAAAGGTCAGGTCTAAGCGGGTACAATGTTGCCATCAACAAAAAAAAACAACACATAATATCTCATAATATGATGCTTCGTTTAGTCTTCCAAGTATAACTGTTGTATCTTTTGGCTCGCTAAAACACGACGTCTTTGAGCTGTTCCTAATGGTGTGCAGGGCAGCTTGCAACTTAAAAGTATATACATTGCACTGCTGAGCACGACTTTGCACAAATGCCTTCGAGCGGACTATGATTGTGGGACCTTCTTTGTCAGGCCTGTGCCAATCTTGAGCACAAGACCGACACATCCCTTCCATCCCAAAATTTCCCTGGAATTCGGGCGTTCACAAAGCATTAACAATTCAGGCGATTCAGGATCTCATTGGAAGCCATCGTCTGCCTGGAAAATCCCGGGCAACACCTGGGTCGGAGCCCAAGCCGTCGGCATCGACCGTGCGGGTCCCCGAGGTCACGTTCCATCCCGGGTCGACCGTTTTGACCGTCCAAGAAGCCATTTGGAGCAAACGATTCCTGAGGAGAACGAACGAACACAAGAAGGGATTTATATGGATTTATGATGATTCAGGGATAGAAACTCATGATTCGCCGATGAGTCAGTCCACACAGTTTTGAGGACGCTGTCCAATCGTACTTAGGACTTCTCAACATGGGCGAGTCTTTCAAGTGGTGACCTCCAACTATATGTTTAATTAGCAATATTTTTATGCTTGTTGTTTTTGAGGCAAATGCAACCTGTAGTTCTCCAATGAAACGTATGCAAATATGCTCTCCGACTCCGACAGTCCTGAACGCAGCCGCTCCTGCGCTTGGTACTTGTCCTGGCACACAACATCGGGTCTGAAGCCAGTCCAAAGTGAAACACAAACTCCCAAAGTCACCAGGTTGTTGCGTGAGTGCAGACTTGCCGTGATGCATGAGTGCAAACTTGCCAAAAGATGTCAAAAGTTTATCTTTCTTAAATGATTTCCGTTTGCTTGTGCCAAGTGTGCTAAGACTATAAGCTACAACTCAGAAATTCCCCTGCAAGGAAAGTAGAGGAACCTGTTTGGTTCTGCTGTCGCGGTTGCTCGTTGTCCCCGCGCCTAGGTTCTGCAGCATCTTCGCCAACTTGCTGGCCCAAAACGAGACCACAGCATGATAACCGGCCTCGGGCATGGCTCGGGCATGGCGAAGATTCACACGAACTGCGTTCGTCCTCGGCGAGATTCACACGACCTGCCTTTGCTACTCCTAAGGAGTCTCTCCTCAGGCATACTACACCAAATGACATCCCCTCGGATCTCCAGCATGAGCGACATTGTGATTCGTTCACCGAATCCTTCCGATGTGGAAAAACACCCCCTTCGGGTCTGCCTGGCTTTCAAGCAGCCTTGCTCGAGGCAAGTACTTGAGGTCCAGAAACCTCGGACAAAGACGCTGAAAGAGAAGTCGCTGAATGCCTTTAGCCTAGTAGACGTTGGAGGGTGAATCTCACCAAAGAGCCAAATGTTCTCACCAAAGAAGGGAACTGTCTGCAGACTATTGCCTTCGGGGACTATGGGAGCTGTTTGCTGTTGAAGCGCATCCTTTCACGACACACACATGACCCAGAGGGGTCATATGCAAAGGCGATCTGTCGGTGGTGAATGCCAAAATGCTGGCAAAGCTCCAACCTTGGCCGTTAAAAAAATGGCAACACATGGCAACACGGTCTCCATGAGACACGGGAAATTCTTGAGTGCTGAAGAAGCTTCAGTTTTCCATCCAAAAGACTGTACAGCTACGATAGGCAAGAGTTTCCCGCAAAAAACAATCTAAAGCTTGGGGATGTGTTGGGGGGTCGATCCCTCTACAAAGAAAGGGACCCTGCCTGTTCTATTCTTGTTGTTGATGCTGACTGTGCTGAATTTCTCAATCCATCGCCAAGTTGCAGCAATCCAAGCTCAGGCTCCGTCATGTCTTCCGCAGGCGGCTGGGCACCATTGGCACTAAAGAGAGGGATGCCTCATGCGGTCACATTCTTGGGATCTGAAGCGTACCACTGAGAAAAGGCGGAAAAACTCAGATATCTTGGGATCTCTCTCTCTCTCTCAGCTAGTGTCAGGCTTCTTTCAAATAGTTGTTTTTATTTGGGGGTGACCTGGCTTGGTGGATTTCTCATCATCTCTACCGACTCTGCCAGTGCATTTTAGGATTCACCAAGTGACCGTGATGACCGCGCCCCAAGAATCCAACGTGTCGCCACACACGAGGGCCTGGCGCATGGTGGGCGACCGGCGACCAAATGGTTCGGTGTCAGCGTCTTTTTCAGCTGCCCAGCCTTGGTTACGATCTGGGATTGGAGCACCATGCTCCGGGCCCTGCTGGTGAAACCAGATCAGTGAAAAACACAGGGACACAGTTTCTTGACGACTTTGCCACATCCTTGCCTCCATCGGTCCTCCCATTCTGTGAAGCCTCTGGTATACCGCTGCTACTGCGCTATCGAGATCCATTGGAACTGTCTCTGTTCCAGTGACCTGCCAGCAACATCCCTCTCTCTTAGCAATTCGCACATTTCTGTGACTTCCTTCAAGAACTCTCAAGACTTGCCATGCTTGCCCTTCCTTTCAACACTTGGGCACGTCTTGGAAGAGGGAGACACCCCTGACCAATGGGGCTGCTAAGTCTAGTTTTCAACACTTGTCATCTTGTTTTTGTGAAACAATCCAGCAGGATTGCCTCTTGATCCTCTTGATATCTCCCCGACCTCACCCCTCGCCTGTGCAATCTTGAGACCCTCCTCGATGGTACTGGGCCCCCGTTCGCCACTGGGGAGGAAGTGGATGGCGTGGGCGTGGGCCTGGGGCAAGGTGGGACTCCCCGCTGAATTCTAATAGCAAACATTGCTCCTAGTAGCGATGCCAGGAGCCCCTAGTAGCGTTCTTGCTACTAGTAGCGATGCCCTTTGTTTCTAGTAGCGTTCTTGCTCCTACTCTGTTGTTTGTGTTGAGAAAAACATCGTCTAATGGAACTGGTCACCCGCCCCACATATTCCTCTTTTCAGCCGGCTCTGCGCCTCACAAATGTGCAACCATTGCTCCACGGTCAGAAGCGGCCTCACACTTAGGATCTCTGTGAAGAATCTGAAGGTGGCCTGGAGAAAACAAAGCTGAGAAGGAAGCTTCATGAAGCTTCAGAAGGATGCTTCAGGGGCAAAAAAACACATCATGGTCACTCATCAAAAGGGCCGCACCCTTGGGGGAACAGTTCAAGTTGACACAGTCATGACAATGTGGACCGGTGACCGTATGTCAATCTGGCTGTATCAAGCAATCTGGGCCCCCTGTAGCGGTAAACAGCGAACGCCTTTTACCTGGCTCCTTCAGTTTCCCTGGAACATAAAGGTCAAACTTTTTCTACCTGCTCTTGTTTAATGGGGAAAGCACTCCCCCAAAAAGGTTAAAGGTTATCCGTTATCCACTGACTGGGTATGCATAAAAATTTCAAAGCTCATTCAGACTCCGACTCGTTTATGCACAAGTCAGCTGATTTTTGCTTGGCCGGCGATGGCCTCCTCATTGCCGCCAACACCATAATGGGTCTTCAAAGCGGTATCCTGTGCCGGACTCCCCTCCAGTTCAGGTGCAACTTCCCAGTAGGCTTCGCCCATCGCGAGAATCCTGGAAGCAATGTTGCGGTTTCCAATGAGTATGAAGGGTTGAACCAAACGAACAAGAAAAACGAGCAAGACAGCAAGGGCTTGTTTGTGCATATCATCAAAAGAGCAAATCGAATTGTTTGTATCTGTCTGAAGGCAGCAAACAAATACATGCCCATTGTCCACTGGGACTGCTCCAGTCAAACTGACGACATGACCCGGCTTCCGTCTGCTCATTCGCTTCCACACGACCGTCTGGGATCGTCACCGAGTCACCTGCACTGAGCGTCCCCTTCGCCGACCCCAGGGACCACAATCATGCGTTGTTGCACAAAGTGATTGTACACCACGGTCTCTGGGCCTCGAGTGCAGCGCGGCGAGCGATCCGCGTGAGGAGTTGGTTTTCTTTTTGGGACGGAAAGGATCGTGAAGCATCTCAGAAAATGGCGGCACAAGAGAACAGTTCATGTCAGTCAAGAACTCATGAGATCTCTGTCCTTGTCCTTTGAAGTGCTCGCAAGCCGTGTTTTTGGAGGGGAGAACGCTGTCGTGATCGAAGGCGGCGGTATGTTCCGCCCAGCGACGTTTGTCTTCGACTCGCTGTGGTGGCTCTGGTGGAATGAGATCTATGCCCATGCAGGTGCCGACACAAAGCTTCACCAACTCCTGCCCAGTCCGCTGTGGTGCAATGGGCGAAACTGCTCGACTCCTTTTCACTTCGGCTCAAGATCATTCAGGATCCAAACAGAATCTAAGACATGTTTCACTTGTGGATTCACTTCTCCATCTTTGTAGAACCATTATTAATATGGGTCACGATACAAACCGTGCTGGGCTTGCATTTCATCAAACAGCCGATCCTCAATGGCAGCCTTGGCCGCAGGAAACAGCTGTGCTGCTGCCTCCTGTGGTGATATGGATGGCTTTCCCGGGAGGTGACGCGACCTGCGTGTGTCGACCTTGCTGGCGACTGTCTGGGTGAGCCAAAGGGCCCCAGATGGGACATGGGCCTCCCAAACCTTCGGGTGGGTGTTCGCGCGTGTGATTAACACTTAACAGAACTGTCGCCTTGCAGCCTTGCTGTGGCTCAATCTAGCTTCATACCCTTGAGTTTCAGAGCATGACCAAATCGTCTTCAGAATGACCCCAAACCTGACTTCAAATATTCTAGGAGTCACCAGCAGCGCATGTTGTTGGAGTGACACGACTTGATCTACCCTACAAATTGAACCTTAGCAGCTGAACTTTTTCCAAAATAGACGGGGGCAAGAATCTCTGCACACACTCCAAAGACAAACCTCAAGCGAATGGTGAAACCGCATTTTTTGTTTGGAACTGCCAAGCTCATTTGGAAGGATGTGAACAAAAAGTAATAATAATAATGTATCATATCTCATGGTTCGGGAAAGAAGTGAAACAACTCTCCGGTAGAGTATTAATATGTATTAGAGTAATTGGTATTTTTGTCAACTGTTGCCCAACAATGAAGGTTCCAGGGGGCTTGTAGGAGTGTGCTTGCAAAGTGTGCCCTTTTGCATTGGACGCATTGCCTTCTACGACACTACGACAATACGCCAGTCGATACCCTAGACCTAAACCTTAGGCGTATCGGTTCATTGGTGCAGTTCGGTGCGTATCGGCGTATCGGTGGAAACACGTTTATAGGGACACGCTTTGCTGTCGGTGATTAATGGTTGCTGGCTGGAGGGTATTGCTTATGAAGTACCAGCATGTAATCGCAAAATTCACCATGAAGGCAAACGATGCAAGAAACTTCCTTGTTCCACTTGTCCATTAGTCACCCAATTCATGATTTGGCTGGCAAATGTGACAGTCTACCGAGTAGCTCTTGCACATTCGATGGCCATAATCAATGCCTCGCATAAGGCCTTCGCGGACGTCTCCGGCCCTTCACGGATCCATTTCGTCAAAGCAGTCCTGCCATCGGGACATCGAGTGGCGAACAGGACGCGGTACGAGATCGATCGGACAGGACGCTATAGTGATCAGACAGGATGCTCCTCACGCCCGGCCCAAAACGGCTATAGTGATCTTGTAGGATCTCAAGTTGACAACATTTGCGAAGCCTTGGTGTCTCGAAAAGTCTCAGGTGGTGAGAGCACACGAGTCTACCGCCGTCTACCGCTGTCTGCCGCGGCCAGGCCCCCGGCAAGTCCACCTTGAAGGGTCTCCAAACGCAGTCAATCTTGGACAAGAAACCTGGACTCACAAAGAGCAGATGACTTGTATTGTTTGGGTCTATCTATCATGTTTATAATTACCAGTAACAGTGGATGATGATGGTTAGTAAAGGCCCTTCTCTTAACATAGTGGTATTTGTTTAGCAACCGTTACAGGTAATGGGACAGACCCAATCTATTCTGGTCAAAAGCGACTTCAGCTGCACTTTCTGGACTTAACAATGCCCGCGAGCCAAGAATACAGTCCTTTTGAAGAGCCGATCTCCTGTGCCCTCTTCAACACAGTTTTGGCAGGAAAACGCCGGAAGAAGAGTTAGTGTGGCTGTGGGCATCAAGTGAGTCAGAAGATTCGTCCAAATGTGTAGTCAACTCCGTGGCCCAATCAGGCCCAGTTTACCCATGCTGCTCCAGCCAAGCAGCCTTTCCCGGGAACCAGGAAGAGTTTTTCTTCTCCTGGATTAAACCCGCTTCCATCCAGTCTGCGATAGATCTCAGACACGAAGCCAAGGTCTCGAATCTCAGTCTCGCGTGCAAACCTTGAGTCAAGGTCTCGACAATATGGAACTCAGGACAGAAAAGCAGCTGCACTGTGCACTGGGTTGCTATGGCTCTTCCATCCTCAGAGAAGACGAAAGGACCATGGGTCCCATGGCTCTTACTTTTGCATGTTCAGATCTGCCGGATGGATTTGGAAGTTGCAAGGCGTTGATGTTCTCAGAGCAAATCACATCACTTCTTTGCAGGAGTTTGGAACGGGCAGGTATAGTGGCTGTTGTGGCTCTGTCACTTTTGTCAATCCTGTGGCTATATGCTTCTTCCGTCTCCGTTTTGCTCTTGGCTGTAATTCGGTAAATCCCCCTGACCATGAGTTTGCTTCTCTTCACAACTATCACCCAGATAGAAGCTAGTAGGAGACCATTAACAACTATATAAGAAGCTACACACGTAACTCCTTCGTATCTCTACTGAAAACCGTTTATAGCTCCTCCCTGCATGGCACCTCAGCCGCCCATTCTCAACACGGAATGGCCACAGCGCCTCAAAGCCTTGACCAAAGAGAACTGATCCACTTCAGTGGCCACACCACACCATTGCAAAAGCGCACGGACTTGCCTTGGAGTGAACAGCTTGCACGGAAACGAGCAACATCACTGAGGTTTCTGATCAAACCTCATCAGCAAATTTGCTGGCAAGTTAGGTTGAACATAGGCGCAGAAAGAACACACACAAACATTAATATGTATATATATATGATTAATATAGCTTGGTTTTGGTTTTGTAGCATGACGCACTTGTCTCAGCACTTGTGAACCGGTGTAGAACTCAGCCTGATCAGTTTCTCGTCAAGGCCCATAGATTCAGTGGCTTTCTGCCCTAGGCCGTAGTCATTGGTGAAGGAAGAACTGTGAAGAAATATTCTTTCTCCACTTCAACATGAGGATACATGACACATTAGGATAGCCCGAAACAAAACGGCTGTAACATGGATCTTTTGGAGGTAGTTGTCTGCCAATGTTCTTCCTCGCATCACTCGTTCTTTTCTTGGCAACCACTGGTTGGTATGTCAGGCCCTCAGGCTCTCGCCTGATCCACTGGACCCTGGCCCATCTGATGCTTTATACAAGTTTGTTTGGTCTGTCCTCGTGAGGAGAACAGCACAAACCATCATGGTGGGAAACTGGGAGTTGGTGTACAACACACACATGTCATTGGTATAATGAGAATATTCTTTGTCAATCCCTCACATGAACCATGGGAGAGAACACATATTGGTGGCTTGCTTCTAGTTCATGCGTCTGAGCAACGGATTGGCTGGCACATCCTTGATGTATGGCAGGTAGCAACCGGCGATATTCTGAAAGACCTGGACTGCTACTTGCCAACATGGCAACATGGAGAACTCCATGTGTGTCAACAAATGACCAGTGATTGCCTTGGAACAAATCCAAAAACTAGATCAACCATAGACCATCTGAATCTTGAGGAGTGTTTTCCATGAGCAGTCCCTTCAAAAAGATGGTGTAAAACGATGTAAAACCCATGTGCCACATCAACGTTTCAGAGCAGTGGATCGTCACCCTTTCATCGGGCCTCTTGGAGAAACAAGTCCTGCAGAACGAAGTTTCCACTCTGGCCTGGAGGATTCCTGGCGCGTGCGCGGTGCTGTGTCAGGGGGATGCGATGCAGCGAACGACGCTGCGACGCTGCGACGATTTGCGGGATTGTCCCGAACTCGTGAGCTCATGTGAGCTTCACTCTGCTGTGAGCTCTGCTTCACTCTGGATCATACCCTTCCCTTTTCAATCAGGATAAACAAACACCTCCAGCACCTGGATTCGCCAAAAACATCTGAAAAAAAAAAACAATATGAGGGGAATGAGTTGCTCTCGCTTGGTCGCTACGAGCTCGGCTGTTTTCGGCCGTTTTGGTCGTCGCTCACCGACTCGCCTCACTGCCAGCTTCCGGAGGAAGTTCCTGCGCGCCAAAGCCACTTCGCTGCGGTCCTTCAGATGCATGATCCTCTGCAAATAGTCCAAGGTCCTTGAAGAACCTGCAAATCGCCGATGCAAGGATCATGGACTGTACCATTCCAAGCAGGTTCTTGGATCGTTATTGATGGTTCGTTTACCGGAATAAACCATTAGCATCTGCCGATCTGCCCACTTGCCGCAGTCTCAAGTGGTTTTTGCCTGCAGCCCGCTGCCAGAACTGCCCGGAGGTCAAGATCTCACCCAAGCGCAGGAAGGACTCGACAAAGCCTGCGCTTAAGGTGTGCACTGTTGTGAACGCTAGCTACAAGATCCGCGCTGATCCGGACAATGGACACAAATATCCATCCTTCAAAAACAAGACGACAACAAACCAACTGCAGAAACATGCAGAAACTCTACACGGGATCCATCGATAATCATCGATACATCTCAGAAGCCGGACCCCAACCAACGGTGGTCGGACCGGTTGAGCGGTTTGCCGCCTTCGGGCAGAGGTGGCCCACCGATGCAGGTCCGGGTGAGCGGATCGGCTGCTTGGCAACCGAAGACGCCGCACATGAAGACCTGGCGAAGACGCGGCTTTTCCATCTCGTGTCGAAGGCGTTCGAAGGCGCACCCGGTGAGCGTTTCTCGCGTGCGTCTCGTGTTCCGAAGGGTTCGGAGTCCGAAAGACTCCGAAGAAGACTCCGAAAGCTCCCGAAGAACGGCGTCCTCGTTTTGGATATGTGGAAGAAGTGTCTTCACCCTGGAGTTAGTGGGTTAGAGCAAAGAAAATAACCTTGATGTAAATTTGGAACTAAGTTGAATTAAGGGGTGCTAGGTGCAGGATTGAAAGCTGCCAATCTCCTCCAATACTTTCCAGGCTCCGATGGCGAAAGCAATCCGAAGTTCACAACATTTTGGCCCGGCCTCCCATCCCAGATTCGATTCCAGTGGAGGAAGGTCTTGCTCTGCCCCTGCAAGGACACCAGCTTTACGCAACAATCGCAACAAAGGTCTCTGAGTCTACCCCATGCAACAATAGACTGTTGATTAAAAAACACCCGATCCAAAGGGGTGGGTTTCTTCTAATCCATATTCTACATGACCCGACCATGGCCACATCCGCTTTTGTCTGCATGTCGCACCTAGCCACCCCGGTGGCGATGCAGCTCGATCCACCGAGTGAAGAGGTGCTTCACTCTCCGTGGCAGTTTCGATGCCAGCAATCGAGCAAATGTTGCCTGAGGATGCAGATCAGGTGGGGTCGATCCACGGCGGTTGGCACACGGCCTCATTAACATCTAGGAATCTATCTATCGATGTTAAAGGACTCCTGCACCGCTCTGAACCACCCCCCAAAAAAACTACATGCCGCGGTAAAAACCCTATGTCAGGCGCAGGATCTCTCTCTCTCTCTCTATACCTGCAACCTCGCGGTTGCTTTTTTTGGTCGGTAGTTCAACATATCTTTAGGTCTGTGAACCACACAAACATCCGCAACCGAAAACACATTCGGGTAGAAACGCCTGTGGCTCACCAACGCCTGTGGAATATCAGAAGAAAACATCAAACAACTAGAGAAACATCCGCATACTCAAACATAATAAGGCTGCGACTCCAAACAATTGTTGTCACGCTGCAACTTAAAAAAAAAAAAACACATACTGAGGAAGTTCCAGGTATATAGGTCAAAGGCAAGAGCCTTCTTCACCATTGATTGACACCGCACATCACTTGGCCATTGTGGCCAATGCCGGAGAATGAGGGGAACCCACCAAACACTCAGGAATCGAGAAAAAAACGTTCCACATGCAGCAGCGCGGCCAATGATATCAAGAGGCAAGCGCCTCAGCAACGTGACCCATTGCTGTCCACTCTCATTAGAGACAAAGGTTCCTGCACCCTCTATCACCGCAGAACAATCCACCAAGTGTAACTAATCCATACATTCATCCATTTCATGGATCTTCTGAAACAAGACACTGCCTGAACTCGAACAAGCCTTTCCTGACCACCATGCACTCTGGGCAAGCTCTGACTTTCATTACTCCCCCTCATGCCTATCCTTGTCAACATACAGGTGAAATGGAGTGGTCAAAGCCTCATCCCCAGTTCACCAGCTCAAACCAATGAACAAGCTGATGCCAACATGTCGCTACCTGAGAGATGAGACAATGACAATGACGATGTGACTTTGCCGACTAAGAACCTTCACTCCGCTCGGAGGGGGTGAAAGCTGATGAAGCGGAACCCGCGGAAGGAGCTTTTCACACGCCAGGCTGTCAAATTAATTTTGCCACACCCAGATGGGTAGTGCCCTGAGATCGTTTTCACAAGCCAGGCACAGTTCGACCCCCAGGAAGGAGCGGAGACGCAGTTGTGCAGCAGGCACCAGCTGCTGAGAATGGGAGAGCCTGAGATGTCATGGAAACCATGTGGAGCATCTCAAGTTGATTTGGAACATTCACCGGAAATTCTCAAGTTGTGGGGCCACCCGAGCAGTCTCATGGATCTATCCAGTATTTATAGAAGTAACAAGAAGCTATTAGGAACAAGTGCATCGCTACTAGCAACAAGTGCCTTACTAGTAGTAACAAGAAGCTATTAGTAAGTGCCTTACTACTAGGAGCAAGAAGCTACTAGGGGCTCCTGGCCTTATTAGTAGTAACAAGAAGATATGTGACTGCCAGGATTCCAAAGACAACGACCTTGAATGACAAACATCGATTCGGCGAGGCCAAGGTTTGCCTGTTTTCCAGGCTTCTGGTACTTTCCTCATTTTTACCGAAAGGAATCAAACGTATCCAAAAGTAGGATGCTGTAGCTACCATTTTCATCCATTTTCTAATACTCCTTCTTGGCTCAAAGATTGGCAGCGAGTCTGTGCAGCAGGGCCCACTGGCATATCAAACTGACACCGCTTTGGGGAGAGGATTCAGAGATGTACATACCGCCTAAATATATACTACATTATATACATAGGTACACACACACAAATGATCACACATGCGTCTGAGTCCTGAAGTGCAAAATCATCATATTGATTCCAATCCTGCAATGGCAAGCAGGTTCAATCCTCCCCTGAACTCACGGTCGCCGTGGATTCGGGGTCCTTTCCTTCAACAAACCGGTGGTGCAAGGAATGGGGGGACTTGTGCCAGTTCATGCTTTCACACGCACAGCCCTCCTTTCATCAGCCAGGCACAGCTTTGCAGCACCCTTCAGCGCAGACCATCCCAACTCTGGATCTCGTCCTTTCAAATAGCTTAGTCTCAAGACCTCAGACCATCTCAACAGGTGGAGTCAAAGAACACGTTTTTGGTTCAGGCTGGTCTCTGCCAAGGCCACGCTCTCCTGGGGCTGGGACCACCAGGGCTGACCAATAGGTCTTGCTTTGGAAGTTGTCGGCTTCTCGTTGTCTTCTCCTCTGTGCCTTCGACCACGTTTTTTACGTGGAAAATACACCTTTACACTTACTCAAAAAGCCATCGATTCAGAAGATTGGCAGTGCATGATACCAAAAAGAGGGCATGTTTTGGTGAGTTCAACTCACAACATGTAACCAGAGTTCAAACGTGCTTCAAAAAACAAGTCTTGTGAAGAACCATTGGCCATCATTGGCCTTTGCCTGTGCATACCACAGAGGCAAACGTGAACGCAACTGGTCAAAACAGGTGCTCTTGGGAGTTGCAAATGAACAGCATCTGGGTCCAGGGCCTACAGAACTCCTACAGGGCCTGGGTCTGTATTCGAGAGCACAGAGGGGCCCGCAATCAGCGGCTGGGTGAAGGAATGGAGAGGAATGCGAAGAGATCGACAAACGTTCATGGCCGCAGTGTGGCAAGCTCTGCGTCCGATGTCCGGCGGTACGAGGCCTAAGACCACGTGGTCTTGGGGTGTTCAGGCGACCCGAAAAGAGATCGTTTTGCTCACCTCCGCTTCTACAGACAAAGGGAGCGGCTTGGATAGATTATATATACAGTATATGATGATATCCTTGGTATAGGGGATATCCATGAGGAAGCAAATGGAACCGATGGTGCCCAGCCAGTTGACATGTTCAAGCCTGCACAAACAGTCCTCCATGTCCATCCAAACAGCCTCGCGTTCGTTGTTCTCGTCTTCCCGTCATGATCCCGATGTGTTGGATCCCCAACTCCGGTCCGATGTGTTGGATCCCCTAAGACAGATCCCCAAACAGAGAGATGTCGCCACCAACTTTGGAAGTCGAGTCCGGGGTCGAGTCTTGCCTTGGTGTCTTCACCTTTGCTCATCTCGAGCACTGTCCGGAAGGCTGCGGCCTGCAGACGTGGACCGGAAGGACTGGCTACGGTGCAGAGTCAGAATCCGTCAGGTTTGGGACAGTCAACCTCTTTAGGTCCGTCCGGTCCTAGACAACAAAGAGAAGTACCCACGTGGATTCCACCTGTTTGTCCTACGATGACAATGATTGCTTGCAAAAACCTCCTGAGAGCCTTTGGGATCCGGAATCAATCTAACTGAAGGCCCGAATCAATCTAAATATATCTAACAACTTGATTTGGATTGCTCTTTGCGTTCTTCCCGGTTCTTGCACTCTGCTTTCCACGGCGCCAAGAAGAATGATGCATCCCAATCCAAATGGAGCATGAGCAAACGCATGCAAATCCATACCTTTTTCAATGAAGAACCCAAACCTTTGCAGGACAGTAAGATATCTTTCCAGAAGGGCTCAAACCCTTTTGAGGCAAAGAACTCTGAGCTTCTCTTGGAGATTCTTGGAGCATAGATGTTCTTCTGGTTGCGAATCCCAAGCAGCTGCCTGTCTTTTTATGTTTCAAATTGAAAAACCATGTCTAAACACAGCTCTAGGTCTTTGCTTTTGGCCAAAAAACATGCTTGGCCCTTCACCCGCACCAACCGCAACGTCCCGATGTCCCGCGCGAAACTCGCCCGCGCACCTCGAGTTCTGCCTCGCTGACCGGCTCCACACCTGGGTCGAGGTGAAAGACCGAGGGGGTTAAATGGGGGGACATCCCTTTGAGTCCCGCCGGTCCGCAGTCTTTGGACACACTCTCCTATATAATAATATATAATATACATAGCTATTATTTGTTTTTTATTGAAATTGCTTTCCTGGAAGATCCTCAATCCTCATGATGTTTTCTCTTTTTGCAACTTCTTGCTGGCCAAGCGTCCGAGCAGTTGAAGCAGGCGTGAACTTTGAGACGACAACTCCAAGGAAGGCTCTAAGCATCGCACCAAGTGGCTTTGAAGACCTCAGATCTGGCACGGAGGGTTGTTGTTGTTGCTGCTGTTCTCTTTCTTTTTTGGGGGGAGGGTGGAGGGGTTTTGGCTCAGCGTTTTTTCGACCGGATTTCGGGGTCGTCCCATGCCCATGTCCAAAGGTTCTGCAAAAACAACCAATTAGTCTCATGGACCAGAATCCAGTCGTTTGTATGATGGATAAACACAATAAACGACATGCCTAAAGCAGTGATTTCAGTGGTATGCCGACAGTCAATTTGCCGTGCTCATCGTTTCAGATCGTCTCAACTGAGCCCAGCAAATTTCCGGGACACCGGCCCACAGTCCGTTGAGGTGCAACCGACGTGATCCGAGCAGCTTTGTGGCACCGCGCCCCATGGAGCTGTGTAGAGACCAATGCTGCTGCACCTTGAGTCGCGCTCTCGGGTACTTTCTGCCCAAGTATCTACTACTTAGCGGTACTGCAAGCATCTGAATGATATAATTTAATATCCAGAAAATGCAATGCGATTAGAAAGCAACAAGCAACATTCTGTCGAGCTACAAATTCACTTCATTGAACAGTGCATCTCTGAGGGTCTTCAATGGCGTAGCAGCGACCTCAATGGCGAGCTTGACACCACACTGGAAAGGCCACACCTTCAGATTCTACACGGTGGTACAGGCTTGCCGTGCCAACAGGATCGGAGCACAGCTCCCGAGTCTCGTGGTATGCAACCATCGTCGTCCGAGATCCGGACTGGAAACATGGATAAACTCTGCACCTCAGCCAGCCGCGCTGGGTCCTTGCGGAAGATGTGGTCATCGGTCAGTAACAACAACTAAACGAACTCGTCAAAAACAAAACACCACGAATTCGCATCTTGGAAGACCTGAATTAAAGCAAACACCCATCTGACTATGCCAAACTGAGAAATAACTCGGTGTCTTTCCGGCATCGATCAGGGATCGATGCCACCGGATGGCAGTCCTCGAGGATGGCATCCAAGAGCGACTTGTAGAGGTCGTTGAAGGCCGCTGAGCGCCTCCCAGGCCGAGGGCGATCGGCGAAATGGACCCGATGAGGAGGAATATGGGAAACACATACTTGGTGGCAAAACAAAATCAGAAGCGCCCTTGGAAGACATGACGGAATTGTGTTTGATTCCTTCATCTACTTGGAACATGGAGGTTCCCTAAAAAAGGATCGCTCAACAGATTGGTTCATATTGGTTCAGGGGTTCCCTGATTGAAGACTCCAGCGCAGCGTGAGGATTGCTGGCTTTGCCTGGCCTGTCCTGCTCCCGCCAAAGGGTTTGGAGCCAGCGACCCTCGCAATGTTGAATGCAGGCAACCAGCTCCTCACATTGAAGATCCGTTTGACCGCAAAGCAGCTGCAAATCCAACCCAACAGACTTCTGCATGCAGGAGTGGAGGTTTCTCAACACTCCAAACCAATGAGCCCATATGTGTCCCTTTCAGTCTTCGAATTCATTTTGCTGCAGGCCGCCCACGACCAGAACTTCTTGAGCTTAGAAGCTGGACACATCTGGACACAAATACCGATCATTCCACTTTGGGGGAGAACAAGCATGGCCATGTCAAAGGGTCTTCATTGCCCCACGGGCACATCCGCGGGGGTGGGGCCACACAGCGATAGCTCCTCATGGCCACACTCGCGGACGCCCAACTCCCGGAGTGTTGCGAGTTCGGCGTTTCCATCCACCTCAGTGAGCTCGAAGTGGCTAAGACGGCTAAGACTCATTAAGTGAAAAAGACTAGACGACGAGTGGCCCGAAAGCATTTTTCATCACGTAGGAAGTCAGAGTGCGAGTTATCTGTTAAGTGTGCAGTGCGAAGTGTTGAGTCGAGTGAGTTGAGGTAGTGTGTGGGTTTCTGTGTGTGTATCTATGTCCGTGTGTATATGAGTCTGCGTATGTGTGTGTGTTCGTGTAAGTTGAGGCAGTGCGTGGGTGTCTGTGTGCGATGCGGCCTCCCAAACCCCCCACCGGCGGCCAAGCGGTGACAGCCCAGCTCATCGTCATGAGCATTTGAGCTGCTGGTAAGGGGAGAAGCAGCGTGCACGGCCCCAGGAAAAGCTCACGGAAAAAGACGAGCCGGAATGAAGACAGAAAAGTGCCGAGGCAGGTACGCAACAAGTGTGTCAAAGCAGTGAACTGTCAGAGGAGATGCGTCCAGCGATGTACGATCAGAGGTAACGTTTCCTTCACTCCAGGACACTAGCTTTTCTAGGATGTAGTTAACCAACCACTATGCTTGTCATTGACTAAATGACTGTGTCCAAGAAAAACGTGACAAAGTAGCATGAGGTGACACGCAGCAGGCACTGTAGATGTTTAGCGCACTCTCGCTGTTCAGCTCGCGACCAGTATTAGAGTGAACTAAGTAGCGCGCAGGCCTCCCAAACCCCCCACCGGCAGCCAAGCGGTGACAGCCCAGTGCAGGAAATCTCACTGAAAAAAGCGAGCTGGAATGAACACAGAAAATGCTGAGGCAGCCACGCAAGAAGCGTCTCGAAGCAGTGACCTGTCAGAGGAGATGCGTCCATCGAGATATATCTTCCGGGCAAAAACGTTTACTTCACTCCAGGACACAGCTTTTCTAGGATGTAGTTAACCAACCACTATGCTTGTCATTGACTAATTGACTGTCTCAAAGAAAAGCGCGACAAAGTAGCGTGAGGTGACACACAGCAGGCACTGTAGATGTTTTAGCGTACTCTCGCTGTTCAGCTCGCGACTAGTCTTTGTACACAGAAAAGATAGTGTTGTGCTTCCGCAGAACGGCGTACACACAGGATTTGTCAGGAAGAAGTCACGGTATGAGACATGCAGTTGGTTATCATGTGAACATCTTATAATTTTTTCATCTCCATTCAGGGTATTTGCCGCAGAGGGTTGCGCGCGCGCCGGACGCATCGCACTCTCGCCTGCATTTCGCGCACTCGACACGCACGATCTCCGCAGAGGGTTGCACTTTCGGTTGACGCTGTTCGTCCCACCCTCCGCCTTTAAGAGAGAATTTATAAAGTGGGGAAATGTTTTTCATTAGGACATCTCCCGTGCTAGTTTTCCATGCTCACACTTGCCTACTCATTGCATGCTTGCACACTCATTGCATGCTTGCATATTCATCATTGCACTTTGCACTTGGATGCTTTCGCTCTTCCACTTACACTGGGGTACGTAACACTGGGGTACGTATAGCGTTCATGTTGTAGTGCAAGTGTGGTGGAAGTGTCAGTGTGTAAGTGTAAGTGTCGAAGTGTCAGTGTTCAAGGGATTTTCCGGAAGAACCCTTCGCAATGCTTTCGGGAACAATCTACAGAAGCTCAAGACTGGTTTACAACAACTGTGGTCAAGTTGGATCTTTTGCAACATCAGTCACTCGAAATTACATACCATTAATATCCATTAATATCCATTAATTGCATCAATGAGCAACTCCCCAAAACGTTAATTTACGTGCCTGCAGGGGATAAGTCTTCTCCCACCTCCATTCCAACAGGTAAGGCATTCTACTACCAACGGTGCACGCTGTGTATCCGCGCATCGGTGGTTGGAACACGTGTGCGGAAGGCGCAATGCTGCCGAGGCCACGAAGCTATAGCCACAAGCCTCCTGCAATAGAAAGTTGGGAATCCATTGGGCCGCTGGGGAATTGCCACCTTGGAAGCGAACCGGTGCCACTGATGGCGCTTCAAAAAATAGGATTGTTTTGCTTTCCATCTTTTCTTGCGAAACGCGAGTCCCGCCGTGGAGGGGGCCTGTTCTGTCGTGTCCTGTTCTTGGTTTCAACAGGTGCTGGCAGGTCTCATGAGGATGGGGGTTGGGGGTGATCAAAGCTATTGAGCATTCTGAACTCGCGTGTCGTGCTAGGGCCGCTAGGGGTTGGACTTGACCCAAGTACGTCGACGGCCTGGCCAAGTCGCGCAGCAAGCACTGCTCTGGGACTGCCTGGCCACTCTCCGTCGCCACACAGGCCTAGTCTCGTGGCGCTCCTTTCGAGCTACCAGGTCTATGAAACACGTGTGGACAAGCAGAAGTGGGAGATGGGAAATTCAATACTGACGAGTCTTATCCTGGGGCTTTTTCAAACAGTCGAGTCTCCTTAGGAAACTGCCGCCTTTCGCACGACAACAATAAAGCACTGCGAAAAGAACACTGCAAGTCCAAAAGGAAAGGGTTGGCCAACTTCTCTTTGTGGGGCTCAAGAGACTTGTGCATGCCACTCGCCATTCACATTTCATCGATTTTGTCGCTACTTCGCTTGAGGATCTGCCGCGGCAACCTGCGAGTGGGCCACGAAGATCCCCAAGGAACGTTTTGGCGAGAATAGCTAGCCCCTGTCGAAATCTTTAATATAAGACTTGACCGCTTGTGTGATGGGTCTGCGTGATCTTGTTCTTCCATGTGTGTGTTGAGGTGCAACTGGCGGATTGGCCGTCACCTGCTGCGCGATCTTTGCCAACCAGGCTCGATGTGGGAGTTGGGATAGCCACTGCTGCGGCAAAGCCTCTTTCGGTGGACCGGGTGATGTTCTCCAACTCAGACAGTTAGAGCAATAGGTGGATAGGAGGCTGTCGAAAGGTTGAGTACAAATAGGCTGTCAGGACATTTGTCGTGACCAACCAACTCGATGCTTTTGTAACACCCTGTAACACATGTAACACCTCTTGATGATTCCATGTAACATCTGTGTCTCCATCGTCTCACCAGGCCTGTTCGCCCAGTGCACAACCAAGCCTAGGTCCCGGCGTCCAAACAGCCAAACAGCGCGTGAAATGAAAAAAGGTGACATAGCAAGTCGCATGAACCTCAAATGACCGAGTTCTTTAAGGGATTGTTCAGGGGACTTGATTGCCAGATTGCCTTAGTGATCCTCTTAGTAGGATGAACTTGCATGGGTGATGAACTTGCCTGTGAGATGGTCCATCCCAGATCTAGATCTTCAAGTGCCCCACCTAAGAAGCTCTTTTTCGGGTCGGGTCGCATCTGAGCCACTCCGAGCCGTCTTTTTTGGGTCTTAAACCAACCTACGTCCGACTGCGCAGTCGTCCGGTCCGGTCCTTCCGCCCAGATGCAAGGCTCCGGCCACTGCGCAGTTCGTGTCCGCATCTCCGGCCGCCATGGTGAGCACATGTATTGCTTCGCAAAACCTGCCATGCGACCATCCCATCCGGACTGGAAGAGTTACCATCCGGATGGGTCACACATGGGGTACATGGGACTGGTAACTACACTCCCTGGAACTAACATGGAAGTGGATGCCATGGCCCCGAAAGGAAGACCATTTTCCACTACAAACAGGTGGTTTTCCATGTTCGTTTTCGGGAGTGTGTATGCCATACATGGATGTTCTGGGATGTGAAAGGACCTGGGAGCGTGTGACCACCAAAGACACAGAGTTTTAACATTGTTTCAGACTTGCCCGTGGGTGGCGGAGGAGGTTCTGATTACTTTCCACTTTCCAGAGGAGGGACAAGCTTTTCACTAATGTGGTAGTAATGGTAGTAAGTTGGGTCTTTCGAGTGATCCCGACCGATCCACTATACCGTACCTACAGAGCAATATGTAGCAAGCATCTTGAGACACACCCCCACTCAACACATTTGATCCAAAAGCCAATTGCTTGTGGCCCATTGATGGTCCACATCTTCCAAATACAGCTGAGACGATCAAAAGCCGTATACAATCAATCAAACATGGACATTCGCTTTGGAAGAATCCTTTTTGAACTCTAATCGACTGGGAGAATGATTTTCATTGTTTTTTCTAACGCCCCCGCTTTCTTGCCAGCATTATATCGAAGAACTCAACCCAAGAAACATCTCAGGTCCGGATCTGCTCTGGTTGAGGCTGGCTCGCAGGACGTAGATCGCAGCTGCCAAGCAGGTATTCACGTATCCTCACAGCGCTACAAACTGTTGAGCCCAACATTTATATACCACTTCTTTGGACGTGGACTGGGGATATTGGACGATATGAAAAGTCATATCCCTAGTGCAATGTCAACTCCGTATGGATTGAATTTACCGACTCTAGAATCGAGAACACATCAGGTGCCAGAAGGTCCAAAAAGCGGGAAGCATGAGGAGGGAATGACATGGAAAGACAAACATGGCCCTGGCACACATAAAGGAACCGATTATGGAGGCCGACCCGTCCGTGTCGTGAATTGGTTCTGTCTGCGAAGGATGATGCAGTTGCACCATGTCGCATCATATAGGAAATGATGGCGTACGTTGAGGAACGATAACCAGGATCACATGTCCTGTCTTTCTCTTTGCGGAAGCCATTGGAACATATTGGAACATCCTCCGAGATTCCCGATCTTCCACGATCTCCGGACAATGGTCACAGCAAGGACGCTACATTCGGGGCTCCTGGCCTTACCTAGGAGCAAGGACGCTACGAACGGAGCCGAAAACCACGGCGACTTCGTCTCGCGCCGGCCCGGCCTAAGGTCTCCGTCTCGTCGGTCACTGGCAGCTCTGTGCCTCGCATGGCCTGGCGCAGCTCCTCCAGTGCACCGGAGCGACGATAGCTGCGCAGCTGCGCCTCGTCTTCACTCCAAGTGGTGCCAAAGCCAGCACAAACGGTGCCTGAAGTGGAGTCCCGGAAGGAAAACCATATTGAATTGTGTTCGTTTTCTATTGCTTTTTCAAGTTTTTTCTCTCCGGTCTGGGGAGAGTTTGGTATGGTTTGGAGTTAGGAGGGTTTCTTTATTGAGTGGATTTGGGTGGGTCCAAAAATGTGAAACACCTCTTGAGTTAAAGCTTCAATCAATGGGACAGTTGGCCTTTCGACAACCTTAAACCTTTTCTGACAAGCCACCGGAACCAGCTGCAGGTCGTACATGGCCACAGACTTCGCAGTGGTCTTTGGAGGAAGGGTTCTCCAAGGTGCAAAGGCTGCAAGACCACACCAGGCTGGGCATCACTCCTTGGAGCATCCATCAGCGCCGAGATCGGATCGGGAAAGGTGTACGTCTATGTGTAAACCCTGTATGCAGATCGTGCAATTGTAATGTGATAATATATGAGATATGTTATGATTCGATGCAATTAGAGCTAAATTCTCCCACCTTATCATCCCTGATCACACTTATGGTCAATGAGTAGCTCTTCATTTTCAGTGCTAAGATGCTGCTTCTGCAGTCGCCACTGCTTAGCTGTGCTGAGGCAAGGTTCCCAGCAAGCTCTCCTCGATGAGATATGGCTCCGCTGCTGCACAAGCTTCTGACAAAAGCCTATCGATTCCTGCACATCGATGAGTTCAAGTCCAATGCTTTGGAAGGGGATAGAGATGGATAGAGGGAGGATATCCTGGCGTGATGACCATTTCCCCAGAAGGACGTTTATATATATATATAATTACAGTATAATTGTATACATATATAATCCCCGTTGCTACCGAATATTGAGGTTCACCCTCTATTTTATTTAACAATTGCTTATTATCTAAAATGACTGGTAAGACTTAAAGACCTATACATCTCATTTTACTTAAAACGTGCAAAAAAAGCATTTTTGCAGAAAGTTAGCTAAAACGCGCCTGGAAGCCATGATTTCAAGAAAGTGGGCGTGGCGAGTTTGAAATCCTGAAACATTCATGAAGCAAAGGTAACAAACTGAAAAACAACTCACAAGCACAGATCAACGCATGAAGCTCCTTTTTTATCGACTTTTTCTTTGGTTTTTGTCCAGCGCTTTAAAAAACACAACAACACATCAAGAACGAAGCCAATTGAAAAAACAAAACAAAACACAAAAACATGAAACAAACACACATTATGCCGCACAGCTATTGTAGCCATTTTGGTTCTTTTCAAATGGTCAGCCATTTTGGATTTCCAAAATTGAAGATAGAGGCAAACCATTTTTTGGGAGCGGGGCAGGGCATGCTCACAAACACCTATACCGCATTTTTTTAAAACTTACCAAACTGGCTAATTTGACCGTGCAAAGAGTTCATCCGTGTTATCCACTTTATTTAAGACTCATTTTAGATAACCCTTAATTAAACTAAATTAGTATATAATCTGGATTTTCATGGATTTTCCGTGGTGGACCACACTCGCTTTAGCTAACCGGTAGCAACAGGGATTACACGCATCATAATACATCATACAGAAACATACCAATATAATTGTTACATCCTGTGTCCACAGTGATGTTTGACAATGCCGCATTTTCTTTGCGTCCATCAAAGAAGCAGTCGTACATCGAAGGTCACCAGCTTTTTGCTGCTTCACCAATCGTAGAGCTGGCCTCGTGGACCAGTTTCCAGCATCAAAGACACCAGCTTCGCCACAGCAACACAAGCTGCCGTGGACCTGAGGGGTTGAGGGACCACACCAAACTTGGGCATTGGACTCATCCAGACCTGCAGTGGGTAGGCAGGCAGGCAGGTAGGTTGGACAGAATGGAACAAAGCACCCTGGCTGACATCGAAACATTTATATATAATTGGCAGAGACGGAGGACCCTCCCAAAGTACCCCCTCCTTCCTCTCCTCCACTACGTCCAAGCGGGCCTGGGGTCTGCATGCGTCACCAAAGCAATCGTCTTGGCATCTTCTTCCACGTGGTCTGGACCTCGTCCCCGTGAGACTTGGTCTGTGCTCGTGAGACTTCTGAGGGGTGAATCGAGATGAATCGAGCTTTGGCCAAATCCTGTCCACCGTGGAAAGGGGAAACGGGGAAACCAAGAAAAATGAATGCGGCGGCGAGTCAAAATGGTCGCTGCGCGTGCCCTCCGTGGCCAAGCTGCGTAGCCCTGTGGCCGCGGCTCGCATCAGAGCTCCATTGGGAGCCATGCAGCGCCCGGTCACATCCCAAGCCCGCCGCGCCGCGGCGTGGGGCGCCCGCAGGAAGTCGGGTTCGTCCAGGACCCTGGCAGTGCTCCTGATCCAACAAATATATCTGGAGGTGCTGAGCTGATGTTCAGAACACAAACACGTGAAATTGCACGCCAAAAACGTGGAATTCACGGAGACACGAAAACCTCATGCATCTTAATTTTTAATGCTCTTCTCATCCCTCAGCACATTCAGCTCCTGCCCATGCCACAACCACCGGAATCACCTAGCTCGGGGAAGCCAACCTTATGCCAAGCGAGCAATTTCTGAGCAAAGTCGCAGGCATTTGGAGCGCGTAGTGGCCGACCTTCAACCTCTGGAAGCATGCACCTGTCAAGACGCTTCAACCATGTGTGACAAAGCCTTGCACTGCACTTCGAACACGTCGAACGCTGGTTACGTCACATGGCACCCCCTTTTTGGTCAAGGAAAGCAGTCTTCCAACCATTTTCCCATCCACGTAACCATGTGATGTGTTCGTCAGAAGGAACTGTCGTAAGGAACTGCCGGTGGCGTATGACAGTGTGACACAACTCTTTCATCACAGTCTTGACCGTTCCTCACCTAGTCCAGTCTTCCACCTCCTGCCTGAGCACACAAACCAATTGGTCGGTGTCATCCGTCCAATCGCCAGGAATCCACTTGCTGCGATGTGCATCTCGTATGGCATCCGAGGGCTGCAACCAGCCTGGCAAACCTTTGTCCTGAAGGGAAGGGACACAAATATGTGGCAGAAGGTGCATCCTTTTGACTCGGTTTTTGACTTGCAAGTTTTCAGAGCTCTGCGAGAAACCCCAAGACTCGAGTGAGAAAATCAGTAATTATGTTAGAATATATCTCCAAATCAGACCAGAATTTGTTGGGTGCCACTAAGTTGGGCCCCTAGGCTGGAGCCATAATACCCCATCTTTAGGCTCCAGCAAAGAAGACGAGTCGCCTTCCTTGAATTGAGCAATTCGCCATAAGCCGCACACGCCTCGTCCCGAGTCATGAACCTCGTGACAGTGCCCCGATCCAACATCATTTGCATCAGGCAAATTATTCGAACCGTGCGGCGCTGGCACAGGCGTTTGTTATCATTTGTATGCGCTTGGCTGGTGTCAGGTGTCAGGCACGCCTGCTATATCATCTTGGTCAATTTGACCAGCCTAGGCCAGGATTAAGCTAAATTATATTTGAATTAATATTCTTGAAATCATGGATCGAGGATGATCGGGGCTTTCTGCATCTCAAACAGGATTCTCGAATATGATTTTCATCAGGGTCTTTGAGAACTGCGATCGACCGTCGAGACGAGCAACTCACCAAACCTCCAGAGTTAGAAACATCGATGAGGACCAATGAAAAAAAAGGGGAATATCAAGAGATATAAAGACTGTATGACTAACGCCCCTGCCCCCCCCGGTCCTTGGAGCAGGGGCGGAGCTCTCTCTATTTCAATACAGACCCAATTGTGGCTGACTGTCATCCTAGTCTCGGAGTTTACGATAGTTTACGTACGACCACAGTGATCGATGATCACACACGGATACACACTCTCAGTCGCGCACTCGGTGGCAAGGCCCACGGCATCTCCCAAAGCACAGCCCAGCACTAGCCCGCGCACGCGATCAGCTCTGTCCATGCTGCATGGACATGGCTTTGAAGCACTAACCCTTGGAGACGAATATATACATGATTCTATCAGAAAATCCCATCGATTCCGAAAGCCAATATCTCCCCGTTGTAGTCTGTGCACTGCCAGCCCTGGCGGCAATCATATTGCTCGTTCATGGAGTTTATTGGCTGGGCAGTCTATTGGCTGAAATCTTGGCAAGAATGAAGGAACTGGTGGCTAAATGTGGGCAAGCAAAAATGGCATCGACCCCAGGCAAAGCATTTGCAACGTAAACCTCTCACACGAGGCTGTGGGCTGCGAAGATCCCAAAATGGCGGTAATAGCGGTGCTTACAATAGGATCTATGATCCATGTTAATCCCAGTCAACACTTCTGCAAATTCTGAGTACTGGACGAGGTTGCGCAGCTCCTCCAGGATATGTTGTCGCACTGGCATCCAGAAAGGCTCCGCGGGCTCAGTTCCCAAGTACTCCAACGCATGAGATGCGATGTCAAACTTCTGCTGGCACGCCTTCAACATATTTGCCCAGCTCAGCAACCAGCCATAATAACGAATCAATTCCAGGATCAAGTCAATCGAACCGAGCAATGCCAGGTGGGAATCATGTTGAATCTGTCCTCATTGTTCTTACACATTTTTCAATATTTTTCATATTTTTCTGTAAGTCGCCATAGTCCGCTACATCGATAGCTTCGATACATAATATATGTTGGACACTGCCCATATGTTCCAAACCTTTATTCAACACCTGGGCATCCCTTTGTTGGTATTCCGGCATCTCCGCAACTTCCTCATCCCCACGGTCCCGTCTTGTCTCGCCTTGATGAAGGCTGGAGCGATGGCGTTGCGTCGCCGCAGGTTCTCCGGCGAGCGGTGCAGGTCGGCGCGGCTCGCGGTGAGATGGAAGGGCGCTTGGATGGCGAAGCGGAAGCCGACGGAGCGAACCGGCAAAAAGGCAAAGACTCGCTGCGGAGGAGGATTCGCATCCAAGACCTTGTGGAGGGTTGAAGGAGCAACAGCTTTGCACACACAAACTACGTAGAGTCCTTGAGTCCACGAACAAAGGCTGAAAAGCTTGTTTTTGCATGTTTTTGCAAACTAAGCAACCAGTGGCAAAGCAACCACCACATCTTCATGACTATTCACCTCAAATGAGGTCGTCTGCTCACTTTCCAGGCCGTAGCTGTGCTCTTCCTTCTTGAAAACTTGACAACTGGTGCTTGTACGCAGGCCCGTGTGGGATAGCTGGGCGGACATCACTACCATGGAATCGCCCGCGTTGGCAGTGAAATCACCGCGAAGACTGATTTGCATCACTCTTCTCAAGAAGAGAAGCTGTGCAAAGTCAGCTTCCATTGTCTGCATTTCTGTGCGAATACTTGGCAAAGAGGAGCCTGGATCTGCCAAAGGAAGGTAAAACACCTGGGCGTGAGAGCATGAGCAAGTGCCCTTGCACTGAGTGGTCTCCAAGTTGCTTCAAACACAGGTGCAGCCAGGTGCAGCAATCTAGACCCTTGTCAAGAGATTTGATGCTCATATCTTGTTCCACCAGAAGCACCCAAAAAAGACCACGAACCAGACCACTAATCCCTTCCCAAACCACACGCGCAACTCGAATCTTCGTTGACTTCCAAATCTATTCCTTGTGCCCGCGGCCTTCATTCTCCCGGACTTCCCTGATTCGCCTCCAATCCACTGAGGTTTCTCGACCGAGGCACCGTTTCACCCCTCTGGTGGGCGTCGAGGACCTCCGAGGGGAGGCGTCGAAGGTCCTCCTCTGAGAGCCAGGTGGGTGTTAACCTGCACGGCGGCACGGCGTCAGGCTCCGGTCACGGCCCCGGTTACGCCGCATGCGACGGAAGATGGTGAGAGGCAAGATGAGATGTGGAGATGAAAGATATATGGCTCACCCCAGCCACCTTCCTATACGAAGAGCAACCTTATGAGGACATGAGGTCCTTCTTTTTAAAAGAACGCGACTTCAAAGGTTTTTGTGTGAACTTGAGGCCAAGGGGGGGGGGCGAAAGCTAGCGCTCCAGAATGGGAAAGTGGAGGGCAGCGAGGTAGGAAAAAACACGGCGCTCTTTTTGGAGGCAGGGGTGAAGAGTCCTTTATATGTGGCTCTTTGCCCGGATCCTCCTGCGAGAGAAGAGAGAGAAGAGAGACGGAAAGACGAGAGACAGAGAGGAGAGAGAGAGAGAGAGAGAGGAGAGAGAGATGAGAGAGATGAGAAAGAGATGAGAGAGATGAGAGAGATGAGAGAGACAGTGAGACAGTGAGAGAGTGAGAGTGAGAGTGAGCGAGTGCGGCCGCAAGATACGCAACGCTAACCGCATGCCAAAGAGCGACGACAGGACGGAGTCGAACTTGCGAAGAGGGAGGAGGGAGGGAGGGAAGATGGGAGGAAGACAAGGAGGAGGAGAGGGGGGGAGGTGGGGAGAGGGGGGAGGGGGTGAAAGAGTGACTAGGGCGTACACGGTAGAGGTGCAGACCGCTAGTGTCTTTTATGCGCAGAGTCTTATCCTCTTGCTCTTTAGGTCCATTGACCCTCTCTTGAGCCTTGAAGCAGTCAAGCATGGACACACTATATCAGCTGTTGGAGTGGAACCCTGTACAGGTAGGCTCTACTTTTCAGCAGGCACAAGATTCATGTCCACTTCTAGCTGATTGCGTATGTCGCATACTCTTTTTCTACTGCAAGGCTAAAACAGTCCAGCTAGCTCTGACAACTTAAAAGAAAACTACGGTGCCATGTACTTACCTAATCCAGTGTGTTTCACACTTCAGAGAAGGTAATCTCATAGCTACTAAATACAGTGAGGGAGCAATAGCTGACTCACCTCAAGTACAAGATCAAATCGATAATGTACCTCGGCTGGAGACTGTACTTTTCGCAGGCGGAGATACCATGTACCGGCGCTCACTAGCTCTTTATGGCCTGAGCTAAATCAAACTAAAAAGGGAAAGCGGCTTTTTCTCTACAGAGACCTATAAAAGAATCAAACGACACTCGCGTAACAAAGAACTAAAAATTCAAGACCGCACAAATTGCAATGAATTAAGATGCCTTGCAAAATGCAAGGAGCGTACGGTCCGAGGAATAATCTTCTCGTGACGTGGTCTCGACCGCTTTCATTCACAGACAAAATAAACTGCATCAAAAGGACTCTCTTTCACATTCACATCAAAAACACAAGAAGGAGATACCGGCAAATGTATGTACAAAAAAATATTGCACTACAATTGCAAATCTTGAAATGACTTAATCATCAACCATGACTGGTTGTCCATTAGAGGTCATCTCAGAAAAAGCGGCTGTGATAGATATCATCAGTTGTACAAAACTGTCCATACCTATCCAAATGCTAAAGCATATAAACCTGGAATGCAGGAGTATCTTCTTTGATAAAAAGTTTCTCCTCATTGCAAACCAGAATTTATTAAAACTTCAGCCTGGCAACTTAAAGTCAAGCCTGGAAGCAAAGTATCAACTGTAACCAGAAGTATCTTCACTTCCTAGCCATCATTTAAATTTCAGCCTTCGCTCAGGAATTATGCCGCTGCAAACGATGAAGTTGCTTGATCAGAAGTTGGCGGCCTTCCTTTCTTTCTATTCTGTTTCTGTCTCTCCTTCCTCCGCAAGTTAGCCTCATGAAGAGTTGCTCCCATGCGATACTGTCTTCTGTCTCCAGATGAAAAGGAAGCTGGTCTGAGTGAAATAAACATTGGACCATGACTGTCCTCGTCAGTGGGCCTTGAGCACATAACCTCTGTATCAATCATAGCAAAGTTCTCTGAAAAATTACAGATGAACTCCTTCGTGCTCACTGTGGAATTTTCATATTCCTCTTCACTCATTGAATGACCCCATTCAACAATGGTAGACAAACATGTATCGCCAAGCTGTGATCCTTGGTATTCTTCTCTTTCAACAGTAGAATATTCTTCCCAGAGTTTATCAAAGTAAACTTCACACTTCTTGAGGACCTGTGAAGTTGAACTGTAAAATGTTCTGGGAATAGGTGCTTTGATACCAAGATCTGCTTTTACACGAGCTTCTGAAAACCTGCGGATCCAATGCTGCATGGTGCTGTAATAGTAGTTAGCCATTGGCTGCCTTTTGTACCCAGACATTCTGTAAGCCAAACTATTTGCATCACCAGAAATGATGTCCACCTCATAGACAAAACACTCGTAAAGCATCAATGCTGTCTGTTCTCCTGTCAGTAGGTGGGCATCCACAGCACGGTGTGTATCAACATGATAATTACAGACTCTGATGGTATGCATGTTCGCTCGAGTAAGTGGAACACGCTTGTCCTCAGGACCATAGTCATCAAATTCAAAGTCTGTATCCTTGAAATCTTGACGAGGCCTTGTTTCTCCAAAACAAATCTCGTAGATAGCCCAAGTTACATCACGCTGTTCACAGTGACCAAGATCTTGGTCATGTCCAGCAATGATCTTGACATATCCACCTGGTGCCAATCTAGCCATCACTGCAAGATTCTCCCAATCATTGAAACAAACTGTCCAATTCTTTTGCTCAATAAATTCCTTGGCAGGAACAAGAAGATGAGCTTCCTGGAGAATCACGACATGTGCACGTAAAAAGAAGAGCATGTTGAAGAAAAGGTTGTTCTCAAATTGCTCATTCTGAAGTGACATGGCGCTCTGTTTGCGTGGCCTCATTGCACTATCAAGTCCTTGGAGAAACCTTGGTGTGGTGTACTTCTGACCACGAACCATGTTGCCATAGTTCCAGGATAAAAATGTCAAGGACTCTGAGCTGGCCAATAAATTAGTTCCATATGGTTCTTCTATTCTTCCCTTGAGGAACCTTCTGCACAGCTCTTCATAGAAGGTGACAAAGTCCCAACTGGGTCCCTTGGGACCATATGATTCCAGTTCCTTCTTGAGTTCCTTCTTCGTCTCCTCCAATTCTTCTCGAGCATGTTCTGCCCTTTCAAGGGCCTTTGGATCGACCTGATACCTGCCATCCAAATAAATGATGCGGTCATCATTGATGAAGAATCTCTTCAAATCATGCTCTGGTTCATGTTCATAACAATCAGGTGGAGGTACTGGACAGATATTACGAATGGATCGAACAAAATCATTCTCGTTGATCCTCGACTGATAATGAGGATGGGAAATCTCACCTTTTCTAAAACAAACATGATTCAGCAATCTTGCATGAGTTTCCCTGAAGCATAGTTGATAAAAGCCAATACCTGGATCTCCTGTAATCTCTCCAAGCAACTTCAAAGGTGAAGTATGCAATTCATAGGTATCGTCAGCTTTTGTTGTATCCTTTTCAACAACTACTTCAGATGGAAAAGATTCTTGGATTTCAGCCTCCAATTTCTTCTCTCCATCATCCTCTCTGACCTCTTTTATTTTCTCCACCGCCTCTTTCTTCTCTTCCATGGTTGCATCATCCTGAACTTCTTCATGAAAATGAGGATCAGGAATCTTATTCAGGCGGCTTCTCTTCGATTTCCGCTGACCTGAAGTATCATCAAGGTTAGCATCCATCTACAAGATTTTCTCCCTCGGTTCTTGGAAGAGGTCCTGAGGTCTCATAAAAATCTGTCCCCTCTGAACTGAAAGCTTCTGTCGCCTTCTCATTGTCCTTTTGATCCCTGAACAGGTGAGTAATCTTCACAGCTTCTCCCTGTAGCGCCTGATCACCTCCTCTATACTTGTCGACAATGGAGCGCCATACGGGAACATCATCATCATCAAAATCAAGCTCCATATCATCTGCCAACAGGTATGAGATGTTTTGAGCTGCCTGTTCTTCTTCTTCATCACGTTCCTTGGCAAGCTCCTCATCCTTCTGGATCTTGAAGATACCCTTCAGGATGTCTTGTAGTACCTTTAAGTTCAGCTTCGATGATGGCTCATACGTCCCTGAACTTACAGGCTCAACTACAACACGAGAGCAAGAAATCGCCTCCAAAAACTTGGAATTGTATTGGCGTTCAAACTCTTCCTTCTTGATCATCTCATACAAGGGATCAGAAACTGCAACACGCGCCTGAACATACTCACGAAGTTGATAGCATGCATGTTGCACAAATCTACTGTTGGAGTTGTGAAGAAAACTCTCCAAATGATTCCTGTCACGGTCAATCAAATACCACACAATCCTTGCAGAAAAACGGAATTTCTTGAAGTTCATAGCAAAATGTGTATGATACTTCTCTGGATTCCTTTCTGCTTGTAAAGCGGCCTCTGAAGTCTTGTAAACAGGAAGTTTTGTGTGTGGATCCAAGATCATAAAATCTTCCCACAAGATCGAGTGGTTAAGAACCCACTTGGGAAGCACCTTGATGAAAAAGTCACAAACAAGTTCAGACAAAAGGTGCATGACACGGCCAATCTCTTCCTCCTGCTTGAAACGATAGTGCAATTTGGCAAACGAGGGACTGTTGAAGGCTTCCTCCACTGTGTTGCCAAAATTATCCCACTGAGGTTCTGGAATACCAAAGTTCCAACCCAGCAATTTGGGATCTCTGCACATATCCAAGAAGCTTGAAAGTTCTAAAGAGCCAAGGCCATGGTCTGTCAGAATTTCAGCCCAGCGGCGTCCATTCTCCCAAGCACGGATGAAGAAAAACTGTTGGTATCCAGTTTGTGCCAACTCCATCCACTGAGAAATTCCGGGTTCAAAACTCGGTGCATACGTCTTGGGGTCTTCCTCTGTTCCATAAACACTTGGACGTAGCAACTTGTACCTTCTACAAAAATATTCTCTCTGGTGCCTTGTCAACCTGTCCCAATCCCTCACGAGG